TGAAAAGTAGGTTAAATACAGAATTCAGATTGTTCTCACCTGGGGTCTTCAAATCTCCAGGTCTGGTCCAATCTTCTCTTGTCAGGTTCAGACAGGAGTCATCACTACTGCATCAGTCAGCAGCCACCTAACTATACAACATTATAAGTTACACATTTGTCTCAAATAACACCAAAGGAATAGTAGGTAAAACGCAGAATTCAGATTTTTCTTACCTGATATTCATCTGGGGTCTTCAAATCTCCAGGTCTGGTCCAATCTTCTCTTGTCAGGTTTAGACAGGAGTCATCACTATTGCATCTGTCGGCAGCCACCTAACTATACAGACATTATGCAAGTAAGTTACTTGTCTCAATTTACACCAAGTAAATGATAGATAAAATGCAGAATTCAGATTTTTCTCACCTGATATTCCTTAAGGTCGCTCCATCTTCAAATCAACAGGTTCCCTTGTCACCAGAATTAGACAGGAGTCACCAGCAGTCAGCAGTCAGCAGTCACCTAACTAAGTATACAGACATTAGAAGTTACGCACGTTTCAACATCACCAGGTAAATGTTAGATAAATGCAATTCAGTTTTTTCTGACCTGGCCTGATACTCCTGTATCGAATCACCTCTGACATCAAGAAACACCTGCACAGCTAGCTGACCCTCAGGACACAGATTGCTAACGTTACATGAATCTACAAAAAGAAATAGTTACAACTTGTTATCGGCCCTGTTTTATACATTGTAGAGTATATAAAAACACTGAACATTTCGATGCACGAATCTTTGAGGCTTTATTGATTTCAGAAAATGCCGGTGACTATATTGTATGCCATTCCTAGAGAGCTTTACATAAAGCTAATTTTCATTCATCATTTGTAAATTTCTTTAATACCTCGACAAAAACAGCAGCTAGTGACGCCTAAGTATTGACAACAACAACTAAACACTTCAACTGAAGCTATATACAAAATCCAAATAAACTGGACCCAAAATTTTTGGCATCATAAATGGGGTTCCGTTAGTCTAAAAGGAAAATGATCAAGCTTTTAAATGATATGTAATACAGTGCAATTTGTAATAGAAGAACGGGGATGTGACGGACTGAAGTTAACAAACTTTTTATGCCGTGTTTATTGGACGATTTAAACCTTGGAGGTTCCAGCCTATAGACTGATCATGAATGCCCATCATAATTAGCACTTCAACCAATGAGAGATCGACAAATAGCAGTTAAACCAATGAGAGAGCCCATCATTTATTTGCATTTCTATGTTTTGGCGGAGGTGGGCGGGGCTATAGGATCGGTTTTGGAGGGAACATCAGAATGATTTAATTATGCATACGTTACATTCCAACAGGTGGCTTGAACCACGCCAGGAAAAACAAAAGACAGTTTTTGTTACCGTATAGTTTTTACAAATATGAACTCACGACGTTGCATAATTGACAACTGAGACCTATACATACATTTAATATACACCATGCTCGGGAAATGTAAAAAAAAACGCGGCAAAAGTCTAAAATTAGGAATGGTCGCTCAAAAGTTACAGAAATGCACCATTTTTACGGAATGCAACTTGTTGAATCTGGCATGATCTTAACCTTATTGCTATGGAACAATGTCTGCCAAATACTTTGTTGCTTACCTGTACGAAAAGGCGAAGTCATCTCGAAACCATGCACGTCTTCCGAGGTATCTCGCCATTGTGTTGTCCAAAATTTTCCAGGTCAGGAAATCCGCATTTTCTCCTCCAAACACCACGAGAATTACAATTAACATGCTGCGAAAACTCCCCATACTTCTAGCACATCATTTAGAAAGACATTCTGCCGACAAAAACATGTAAAAGTACCCGGAAAGTTGTACAAAAATAACAATCCCAGAGCATTCCCGCCGTAGCAAACCGCCATTCTGCATGAGCCATGAGGGCACGATGCCAGACGTGTTTCTTTACACAGGTGTTTGCACAGGTGTTAATCTAGCTGCTAATCTGATTAAGAAGACAATTTCAACCGTTAAAACGGTTTACATGCAGTCTTTCTATCATACGCTTACAAAATTTTACGTCGATAATACACTAAACATTCACAACAAAGTTTCCCATTTGTGTTTAAATGGCTGCCTTTCTCAGAAGTTCTGCATGCTACATATACACGGATATAGTGCTCTTTTCTTCACTATATCTGTACCTTTAAGTCATTTCGAGCGTCAAAATCAAATCAAATGGGCTGTAACCGTGACATGGTACTCCTGAAGCGCCGACTAGTGACGCGTGAAGGTACTTCAGTTACTGATCTCTCTATCCACCTTTCAAAACTGACCGCACCTGACCCTGGCACGGTGGTCTCATAGCGCCGCCCAGTGAGGTGTGAAGGTACTGCAGCAACCAGCCGTGTCACGGTCAATACAGCCTGTGGGAGATAAGGCCAGCGGTTGCAGTACCTTCAGCCGCCACTGGGCGGCGCTAAATCAGGACCGTGTCACGGTCAATATTTCAGCCTGATTGTGACAGTGGGAGGCGAGGCTAGCGGCTGCAGTACTTTCAACCGTCACTGGGTGGCGCTAAATCAGGACCGTGCCACGGTCAGGTGCAGCCCGTGGGAGATGAGGCCAGCGGTTGCAGTACTTTCAACCGTCACTGGGTGGCGCTAAATTAGGACCGTGTCACGGTCAATTGCAGCCCGTGGGAGAAGAGGCCAGCGGTTGCAGTACGTTCAACCGGCACTGGGCGGCGCTAAATTAGGACCGTGTCACGGTCAATTGCAGCCCGTGGGAGGTGAGGGCGGCGGTTGCAGTACCTTCAACAGGTGTGACGGAGATCTCGCACCCCCTGATTTTGCACCCCCCCGGGGCGAGATCACTAGCGATCTCGAACCCCCCGGGGCGAAATCGCTAGCGATCTCGCACCCCCCAACCTAGTGTTTTCGCACCCCCCAAACTAGTGTTTTCGCACCCCCCGGTGATCTCGCACCCCCCCGCCAAACATTTTGAAAATTGTTCTGTCTGCCCGGTATATAGTTGAAACTGCATTTTAGTGTGATAAAACCATACTTTAATGTTGTAATCGAGAGTTTTACAAGTTTCCCTGGACTAATGTGACGTATTTCAGCACAGCGCAATAATGGTGACTGTGCCCAATGATTGGTTGCAATAGTGTCCCTTAGTTCCAAGAAGAATGTGTGATTAATTCAACGTTATGTCATTCTTCATTATTGATTTTTTAAAAATCATTTTTAAGACATGACCAATATTTCTCTGCTTAGCACCACACATTTATTTGGTAAGCTGTTCTATGTCATAGATCAAGTGTAATAGATTGACATTCCTGAGGAAGATTTTAAAATTGTCAAAAGTCTTAGATAGGGACAGAAAAAAATCTCGAAGCCTGGTCCCGTCGGAAAAATAAAACTTTGTGACATTTTTGAGTAAGAATAATTGCTATAAAAGCTATTGAATGTTAAAAATATTACGGGTTTAAAAATAAAAAGTCACCCCGTGGATTTGAACCCATGACTCTATCATGCAAAATTCATGACCCTAGCATGTTCAGATCACGAGATATCAAAACCGGAAGTTCTGCTGCAGTACCATAACAAGCCGCTAAGGGGCCCAAAATCTAATCATTTCGAGGTCTCATCAAGACCAACCCACCTACCAAGTATCAAGACAATATATTCAAGCGTTCTTGAGTTATGGTGGTAACAGGCAGACAAACAGACAGACAGACACACAGACACACCGCCACGAAAACATAACCTTCTTGGCGAAGGTAATTACTGAATATTGGTATTGTCATACTAGAGGATAGTTAGGTAGCATCTGATATAGTAACCACTGTGAATTACGAAGGCCGTAACAGAACACATACGGGATGAACAAATCGATTGAGGGGGTGCAAGATCACCAAAGGGGTGCGAGATCACTAGTGATATCGTTCCGGGGGGTGCGAGATCGCTAGTGATTTCGCTCCGGGGGGTGCGAAATCACTGGGGGTGCGAGATCTCTGTCACACCGGCACTGGGCGGCGCTAAATTACATGTAGGACCGTGTCACGGTCAGTTACAGCCCATGGGAGGTGAGGCCAGCGGTTGCAGTGCCAAAATCTAAGCGCCTGAGGAAGTCACCCATAAAATAAAGTCAGTGTTGCCTAATGAAAATAGCTAAAAGGTGAAAAAAAGAGAAGATTCTGACAGAATTACGATGAAAAAGGATTCTATTGGACAGGATACAAACAGTCTTATAAGCTTAACATACCATTCATCTCTGTTTATAATAGACTATGTATGAATACTTAATGCCATGATACCAAAAGAGTATAAAATGAAATAGGGGTTTGCCGGTTACATGTCAATTGTCGTGCATCTATTTTAACTAGTGATATACAAATAAACATGTAATGTCACTCAGTACAAATAGTAGGATATTATAACAGATTTTTGCACATTCTTTTTTGTCTAGAAAGTGATCAACTGCAACAGATGATTGGATGGCCCCAGATTCTGATGAGCCATCATCATAACAATGTTCTAAATCGAGACTGGAGCTATATGATGTTACATTTTAACTACGAAGAAAACAGAATACTTTTAAAGTGATATACTCAACCTCATCAAAATAGTCTCCAGCTAAGTACTTTTGTAATTTTAAAATATGTACATGTAATACTTCCTCTGAATTGTACAATGAAACAAAATGGCGTGATGTTACATTGGTGTAAAATAATTTTCTTGGCTAATATGGTGAGAACTATACTCAACTGTCAGCTTGTAAAGTTTTACAAGTTAAATATACTTGATTTCAGATAGACTGAGCTGATTACATATTCACCTGTTATAATTATAATATTATAATAATAACTTGAAAAGCAATATATACATGTATGATTGTCAAAAGCATGCACTTAAGATTTGATAAACAATATTTAAGTAAAGATATTCACAAGACAACCTGAGTTGCACTTAGTATGTGTAGATACATTGTATGCAACAAATAAGGAAATTCATTCTGCAACTGCAATATTATGCTATTTCAGATTTAGTATTTCTGCTATAGGATGTGTCTTCATTAATTATTTTCTCTTGAAATGGATGATTCAAATATCATTTTACGTTTTGTATGGCTATGTTACAATTTCCTACACCAAACTTCAAGATGTATAAAATTTTGCCAATCATCAAACTCGAAATAAATTTCAACTGACAATATGTTAACACACTGTTGCAGTACTACTACATGTAGGCTAACAGTACTTCTACAAGCTTACCCAAAACTTTTCAGCTGTGACAATGATTGTATCTGATTTCTGCCCCGCACATCCCCATAAATGACAACATCATAAATTAGCCAGCTATACATCTTTAAGTGTTCCTCTCCTGATTAAATAAGATTCAATACAAATAAATCTCTCTGAAGAAACAGTGTGCTACAAGCCATAAGTTTTAGTCAAATCGAATGCAACATTGTATACAACTATAATAATTATCAAACCAACACTGTGTGACAGGACCACAAGAAAAAACATGTCTGTATAGCTGATGAAGCTTGTCATGTTGTGAACTAATGTTACTGTACTGTGATGTTCCAGCCTGTTTTTTACTAGCTTACAGGCTGAAGTCTACCACTGACGAAGCTCGAAGGGAACCAGTCATTGATCTCTGCAAATAGAAGAGAAAATAGGAAAAATCAATGGAGTAAATGATACATGTCATTGAAAGTATACTTTGTGTACCTAATGAATCTATCTAGAGCACTAGAGCATCATTCTGTTAAAGCTATAATGAACTTCATTCACACACAAAAATGGTTTACATCATTCCCTAAGGTGGTCTATGTTATGTGTAATCAACTTGATTGAAATTATTACCAATGATGATAGCATCTTTATTGACATCTATAAAAGATGTTTTAAGGACAATCAGGCGAGGTCCTAAAATGAAATACGGCATATGTAGGAAGCTAAGCTTACCCTGTCATACGGCAGACTTTTTGCATAGTTGGAAGGTGCCATGGGTTTGGCGCTGTACCCGTAGGCTTCCCTGGGTAGAGATGAGACAGAGCCAGCGCGTACTGACGACATTGAGCCTGCTCTCTTCATCATGGGGTTGTAGACCCCCGGCTCCTGGGGAGCCCCTCCCCTCAGGGTGCTGTAGGAGTCAGGCTGCATGGAGGGGTTGTACACACCAAACGTACCCGTACTGGCTAGAGACAGTCGGCTGCCACGCATTGAACCATTGCTGTATCCAAGCCCCCCGGGTGGTGGAGCATATGAGTGCCTTATAATCAACAACAAATATTAAATTAAGGGCACTATAGTTAATGGATTATCACTTGCAGTTTGTGGGAAAACTTTTGAGAATGCAGAGAAGAACATTTACTATAATAACAACATGCAATTTGGCAGGCTAGTGTCAATTGAGTCACACCTTGCAGAAATAGGAAAGTTTCCAGAGGAAAAATTTTGATCCGTTGTTTTGAAGTTAGATCTGGGAATTACACTTAATGAGATGTTATAATCTCATGCAAGATTTATGATGCAACAAAATAATATCATCTGTACAGCAATGACATTATTTGTCAGAGAGATAACATAGTACACTGAGTATTTGTAGCTTCTATTCTGCATTTCCCCAAAAGTATTGCAGGCAACAACGTTAATACCAACGTCTCATCACTCTCAAACTAACCAACCTGGGTACATGGATAGTACGAGGGCGGCGAACAGTGGCAGGGTCCCCTGCCCAAGCGTGACGTGGAATGGGGCTTGTGGTTCGGTTCACTACACCATTTTCCAAACCCCCATCAACCAAGTAATGAACAGTGCTTGCAAAAATAGATGCATGTGCAAAACATTTGTCATAATGAATTTCATTACACTTATAAGCAAAATATAAAAAAAGAAAACCTACAGGTATGTGTGCTTCACATTTACATAAATATTAAAAGCATGAAGAATGCATTCAATAATTGTAGCCTAGTATTCATCCCTATTGTACTAACTTCCAAGTTTCTTGTAGTCTCCAGGAGTTCTCAAGTAGTAAAAATAAAGGAGACTACAATAGGTTTGGATACCAAGCTATCTGTAGGGATGACAAACACACTCAGTGATCATTGGCATGCCTTCTGGTGTTGTTTATTCTTTCTCATGCATAACAATGGTTTCTACTCTTACCTGACAGAGCCTGATTTCCTCACAAAATCCTCCACTTGCATCTGCTTTCCATACATCAGGTCAGCGTTAGATCCTGTTATGCCGTATGGTGTTTTACGGGCCTCTTTCCCCTTTGTGTTCAACCTATGGACAGGGAACGAGTGTCTTAGTGGTAGGACAATTCAATTCATCTTTTTCAAAGAGTCTGAATTGCATTGTTTTTACAAAATAGTTGGCGTATGCCTTAAACTGATGCCCTGAATAAGCATTAACTTTTTCTCACAAAAGATCTGCCATTACATTGTATATCTTTCTGTCTTACCATTTTATACAGCAGCATAGAAGAACAATCAGCAGTGCAAGAGCAGCTAAGGAACCCAGCACGATTCCAACAATCTCTCCAGTTGTCAGCTGACGACCTGCAAAGGACATGAAACGTAATATTAAAAATTTGATTGCAATGTTGCTGTAGATATGTGTTGAAGGGAACTAATAACCACAATTACATTCTGCCCAATAGCTTTAAGAAGTATCATTTCAATCATTTTTTTAGAAGCTTATTTTCTTAATCCCTCACGTTTATCACAGGTGGTGCCATGGAACCCCCTGGGACAGGTGCACACAGGCTGCTGGGTACTGGACTTGCTGCAGGTGCCACGCTGGCAGTAACCATCACAGGCATCTGAGGGGGGGGGAAATAAATAAGATACACACAAACATCATGATTGCTGTGCCTTCTTGTCATATTTCAGCAGTACACTGATAATTTCAATTCCCAGAAGAACATATTACCGGTGATAAGAAACCATAAGTGAAGATGAGATTTTGGCGTTCCTATTTTTCTTAACCTTCTACCTGCAAAGGTAACGGTTGGTACAGAATTTGTATCGAGTTATGGGGTTAGGCAGCAGGGAGAAGGTTAAACTAAGAAGTGTTTCAAAGCTCACCTTTACAGCTGGTCTCTCCATTATTGACATATCCAGGGTTACAGGAACACCTGTACCCCTGAGGCAGGTCCTGACACACTCCATTGTAGTTCAGACATGGGTCCACTGTCCCTGCTGTGCACTCATTGATGTCTGAATATAAACAACCACAACATGAACCTGTCTACAGAAGACATTGTGAATCAGGTGAAATCATTGGAAAAAACAACTTTTTATCAAGGGGTTAGATATGTCACCTAACATCCTGATATCCTGCAGTTTTGATAGTTGTGTGGTAAGTGTAGCCTATAAAACATAACCACTCATTTAATTTTCAACAAGTCAGTTCCAGTAGTGACCAGAGTCACTGTAATGTGTAACAGTTCTGATATCAGGCAATCCTAAACTGTTACCCTGAGTGGTGGTAGGATTTCTGCTCCTATTCTTTGCATTCCTTACCTTGGTAACAATCCGATGACTTTGAACTCCCAGAGCCCACAGTGAGATAGCCTGATGGACAGGGGGTGCAGGCTGCCAGGTTCTGGTTCTCACGGTAGGAATTTTTGGGGCAGGGCTGACAGGAGCCGTCAGGCTTCAGCTCCTCCCCAACTGGACATGCTGAAAACACAACAGATGTTGGTTAGGATAGGACATAATCAATGTAAAAGGTAAAGGGTAGGGCCATAGCCTTTTTGATGCCACAGGGGCCAAAAGTTGCTTATCCAACTGTGTCTAGTGCATGGTATTCAAAGATGGAGCCCTTACACTTTTACCTCCCCAAACAACAAATCTTACATCTGAGTGGAGTGAGGACATTCAACTTGTAAAGTGTGCTTCACAAGCAGTCAGGAATAGCCAGGAATGCCATGGATCAAAACTATGACTTCTCAATCTCATATCTGCTAGTCTAGCTTCTCTGTCATTTGACTGCTACAATGTTGCACACTTTTACTGCACAAAGAATAAAATGTCTAACATGCACCAACATACACAAGGAGTTAGCATTTCATGCAAACAATGAGAAGCTACATCATACTCACCAAGACAGTCAGCTGAAGATGTAGCCCCTGGAGCAGCCGTGGTGCCCTGGTTGAAAGCCAAACATGACTTGCAGGTCAGCTGTCCTGTCTCATCCTGGTATGTCCCTCTGGCACAGGTAACACAGCTGGTGCCATTCCAGTAGGAACCTACCTGGCATGTTGCTAAAAAAAGCACAATAGGATGTCAGAGTTTTGAATTAGATACACCTGGGTGCTTTGGAACATTATATTTAGGTTCTCTTCTGGTAGAATGATTACAACTTACTGATGCACTGAGTTGAGGTTGTGGCTCCTGTAGTGGCAGTTGTCTGTCCTGAGGGGCAGGTCTGGCAGGTTAGCTGTCCTTCAGCATCATTATAGGTGCCTTTTGGACATGACAGGCACAGTCCTGTACTGTAGTATGTGCCAATGGCACACTCCACTGTGGGAAAAAGATAGAAAATCAGTCACACTCTGGTACACAGTTTTGCAACTATGAACCTATGAACTATAGGTGTGAGAAGCTCTACTTAGTACTAAGTAATATACAAGATTATCATATTCAAACAACAGATAAAAACAATGAATCCACTAAGTGTAGGACTTAAGTGTTGAGAAATGGAGAAACATTTCACATACCACATGCCGAGTTCTGTAGCACCTGGCCAGCTGGACAGCTGAGTCCAGATGCCAGCAGTGCTGTGTTAGGGTCGGCGCCCAGCTGTGTCAGACTGGCCGGGTCCTTTAGACTGTCCAGCGCAGCTGTGACATTTGGCCTGCAGGAGAGCAAGGGAAATATTGTACCTGCTCTATTGATCAACGATCTCCACATAGCAAACTGGATGTATACAGATTAACAGATAGAAGTGCCAAAAAATTAAAATGGACTCACAATCTAAAACTGTCCAATACATTGCCTAATATTCTATTCTATATTTATGGGTTCACCACACCACGAAGTGGTGGTGAACCCATATTGCTTTTCTGATGTTTCTTCTCCTTCTTCTTCTTCTTCTCCTGCCATTTTTTAAATGGATTCAGCTTCTTCATTTTAGGGCCTAAGGTCCTGAAATTTGGTATGGAGGTACAGTGGGCAAATACCCCTAGGCGTTTTTTAAATTTTTGTGATACAGGCTTTTAGAATGGTTTTATTTGAGTTTTTTGGCTGTGTTATAGCAAATGTATTACTGTGTTAGTCTGCCGTGTTTACCACGTCTGGGCATGAGTCATCACAATGGAATGCAGGGCATCAACCAATAGGCATGCAGCTTTCCTCTATACTTCTTGCTGATTGGCTGTTGGGATTTAACTTGATTAACACCTGCACAGAGCATTTCCACCTGCACAGAGCATTTCTTGCTGATTGGCTGTTGGGATTTAACTTGATTAACACCTGCACAGAGCATTTCCATACTGACAGTATGTCTTTATTCAAGTGTTTTGGTAGGTATTTCAAGCTTTTCTGCTCCAGCATTGGAATGCGGGGCATGAACGTTTTTTTTTTTTTTTGAAAATCAACAGTTTGCATTATGCAATTAAAAATCCTAACCAATAAAGTAGGGAATAGCTATCCAACTGTTGTTTTAGTTGTATGTTACTTCATATTATAGTTATATCAATGTAAATCATTGTTTTCCCTTGTCTTTCTCATTCTTTCCCTGCCATGTCGTAAAATGTGGTGAACCCATCGCTGTATTTGCTCCAAAGCAAATATTGGCCTTTCTAGTTGACAATAACATCTATTTAATGACATGTGCTAATATCAAAGAAAGAGTAATTTTTACTATCAAGAAGAATTTTTAGTACACTGTAGTTTGAGCTGAGGTCTCATTTTTTAAACTTCCCTGAGTAACATTGTGTTAAAAATGCAAATTTAAATCTTGTGTTAAAAAGTCTCATAAAAAATGTTTATGTTGAAAATATGATTTTGTTTTAATAACTGAGTATACTTATCACACAATCATACGATCCAAAGGTCTGTAAAAAATGCAATTTTCTACTCAAAGCCAGAAAACCCACCCTTGAACAGGCAGACTTCCAGTAGTGCTGACACCTGTGGTCTGACGTTTCACACGGCCGATCCCCTGTTGTCGTAAAATTCCCTCGATGTCAGACTTACACACAGCATGCAGGCGAGTGATGTCACAGCTGATGTTGGAAAAGGTGTTGTTCATTCCAGTGGAGGAGTTAAAAGGAGCACAGATGTTGTAGGTTCTGTGTAACTCGTCCAACTTGTTTGCAACCTTGTACAGAACTTTCCTCTGGTTGGTTGGTGTACAAGGTTCACTGTCAAAGTTCATTCGGATGAATTGTATTCCACTGTCTGCTTCACTTGCTCCTGTTGAGATAAGGAACAAGAATTTGTGAAGAAAAACACCCAAAGGGAAGATTACAATGAAAAAGTATTGTTTTCCATATGTGTTAATAACCTTCAGCACCAAGGACAGGGCTGTTCCACATGTGTTACAGCCTTCAGCACCAAGCACAGGGCTGTTCCATGTGTGTAACAGCCTTCAGCACCAAGGACAGGACTGTTCTACATGTGTAACAGCTTTCAGCACCAAGGAAAGGACTGTTCTACATGTGTAACAGCTTTCAGCACCAAGGACAGGGCTTTTCCATGTGTGTAACAGCCTTCAGCACCAAGGACAGGGCTGTTCCACATGTGTAACAGCCTTCAGCACCAAGGACAGGGCTGTTCCACATGTGTTAAAAGCTTTCAGCACCAAGGACAGGGCTGTTCCACATGTGTTAAAAGCTTTCAGCACCAAGGACAGGGCTATTCCACATGTGTAACAGCCTTCAGCACCAAGGACAGGGCTGTTCCGCATGTGTTAAAAGCTTTCAGCACCAAGGACAGGGCTGTTCCCATGTTATAACAGGGCTATTCCACATGTGTTGACAGCTTTCAGCACCAAGGACAGGGCTATTCCACATGTGTTGACAGCTTTCAGCACCAAGGACAGGGCTGTTCCACATGTGTTACATGGAACACAATGACTTCACTATATGCAATGCAGATACAAATGCAGTCGTATATGCTTGTGAAAACATGCTCTTACGGATTAAATGGCTCTTGATAGGGACATTGGAGTTTGCTCAATGGTGAAATAAGAAAAAGATCTGCTTACTTGCACAGTTGGGAGGTTGGAATGGTACATTTGGCTGGTTGACATCATACAGCCCCTCAGGTCCACATGTGTAGAAGGGTTGTGTTGGTTGTGAGAAGCTGTACCCAGTGTCACAGGATATATTACACACCAGGCCTCCAGACCAACGCCGACACTCAGCTCGGCCATTCTGGGGGGCAGCCAACTCCCTACACCGACCAGCTAGAAAATGGCAATCATATTCTTCTGTCAGTCATTACAAAAGTTAACAAACCTGTTCTAATCTTTTAAAACATATAATCTTTCATAGTCCAGGGTTATGCATAATAGTATAAAATAGCTCTTTCTATCTGACTTAATTCACTCAGCGTACCGAGCATAACTTTGGCCCTCACACTCCAATACATTTGTATTATCATGTTGATCTTCCAGCAGTTAGGCATTATTTTCTAAAATTTTAGAACAATCAAATCCTGGCCTTGAATCAGTCATGTAGGGAAGCTTACGAGTGACATGGAGGTTGAAGCTGCACACGGCTGAGTTGTTGCTGTTGTCTGTGGCCAGGTAGCTGACTGGGTATGTTCCCCATGTGAAGGTCTGATCTGGAAGGAAAAGTAAGATTGTCAATGAGTGTCAAAACTAGCGTGCAAGGAACAGTCCTGGGAGAAAGAAAGAGGGTGAGGATAATATTAGAGAATGGACCAGCGTGTAAAACATTAAGAAGAACAGAAAAGCAAGAAGGGTGGAGAAAAATGGCTGTCAGATTATCTGTGGTGCCCCAAACAGTCGAAAAATTAGACTAATATAAGGGATAGATGATGAGAGAGATGCAGTACACATTAGCCTCCTACACTACTCTGAACAGGTCTTACCTTTCTAGAAGTGGGGATGATTTTACTGTACCGTTACATGCATTCATTATTATGACAATGGGACATGCCCTTGGTGCTGATTCTCTATCAGATAGACCTTCATGGATACTATTAGATATTAGATGCTATCACATACAAGTTTTTAGTAGTAGTTTAAGAGATAAATATGGAACTACTGTCAGGCTCAAAGACGTACTACCAAAGTACTACTACATATTTCAGTAGTACAATAATGACTGTCCTTACTTTTTCTGTGTGAAGCTTGAATCCTTACATCTGCTTCATCAAATTCTGGCTGTGGCCATGAAAGGCCAGCAGCAAGAACTGTGTCAGAGTTGACTGTAGTGGGGCCAGGACAGGAGGTGATGCTGGGAGCTGTCTTGTCTACAGGGTGACAGATATCAATAATTCACTTAAAGATCATATGATTATTATTTATTGTTATTGACAATGTCAAAGTAATATGTATCAATTTTCCTGGGAAATAATTTGACTGACGGGAAAAACAAATTTTGCAAACTTGTACAATTTGTATTCATCTGATGGCTACATGTTTATGTAGCCTTCAGATTGTAACTGTTTGAGAAAACAAGTAGCTTATAACATCTGTACAACCTTTACATGCTGCTGATCTGCTTACCGGTAATATACTTTTTGTACTGCTTTCTTTCATACCAAATAGGAAATTTTGAAAGGCTGCACTGTTAATATAAACTGTATTTATCTACCATAATGACATGAGTGAAATGCCACAAAATTGTTAGGAAGTTACCACCTGAAGCAGCTCATGTTCCACCTACCGATGACACTTTGACAAGAGGACCCTGTCACCCCCCGTGGGCAGCTAGTGGTTCCACCCAGTGATGGCCGTGGAACTTGGGGCCTGCCTTTTGTAACACCGGGATCATCAAATGCCACCCACGGTAGAGCTGTGCCCACTGCACTCTCTTTTGACTCCCACAGGCTCCGTAGCCTTTGGTCAGACAGAGTCCCATTCCACAGATTGGCTTGTGTGATCTCACCACGGAAGTAAGGCGGCATTGTGTCATTGAAGTCTCCAAGAACAACTTGTACTCTGTATCAGAACAACACGACTTGTTACACTCACAACGAATCTCAATCCTACAAAAATGTTTGAAACTGTAATTTGATATAGGATACAGTTATGCATGCTACAACCATACATTTTCAGCTCTCAAATATTAAACAATCATGATAAAATGAAGCCTGTCCATGTAGTTTTATGGAGAGAATAGAGACATGTGTATTCCTCGTGGCCATCTGCTTTTATGATGTTCTCTAGCTACAAACTAATGTATCTTTTCACTTTGAAACGTTCAAAAAACAAAGAAAGAAGTTTGTATGGCCTAATGACTGCAACTCAAGATACTAATTTCCTTATGACATTGTAACACCTCTTACAAAATTACCTGTTTCCAAACATCTGACTTGTTGGGTTGGACTCCGCAGCAGTGCCACTGGCAAAGGTGTTTCCATTCTGTGTGGCCTTCCACACACCCGTCACCCTGTCCTGTGCTGTACACAGGTGGTGCCACTTTCCATCCACAATAGTAGAGTTGTACATGTAGGTGCCACCAGGCAGCTGTAATCCTGTGCCTGTGAACTGTGCAACTGCTGTTCCTGGCTGACTGGCTCCCCTAAAGACAGTAAGAGGTTTTCGTATAACTGATTGTTGATCTAAAATGCTATTGAATCATCTACATGCCTGATGTCATGACATACATGTATTTGACATCTGTTTCATTAAATTCAGAGTTTCTCATGAGAAACTTACTCATCATAGCCCAGCACAGTCATGACAGCACCGGTCTTCTCCTGCTGCTGTCCAGAGAAGCGGACCCAGCTGCAGGCTGTCCACTCTTGCTGTACCGGTACAGCAGCAGGTGCAATGGTGGTAGCCTCCGCTCCAGAGAACAGCACATCAAAGTCAGCTGACTTCTCTGTGAACAGTTGTATAGTAAAGAAATTTAGCCTCCAAGACTAGTTTTCAAGATTTTCAAGTGAAGCCTTAAAAAAATATTTGTTTTGGTAAAATGCAAGCTGCTGGGCCCAAGGACAACTTATTGTAGATGAGCAAATTTTAATGGTACATGTACTGTAATTGTCCACAATATAACAATAAAATAACACAATACAACTTGTATTTGAAACTTGGCTCTTGTGGCCACCAAGTAGTGTACCAACCTTTGTGGCAAGTTTTGCCATAGTAGAAGTCAGTACAGCGGCACCTAGCTACACCAACACCACCATTGTCCACACACGTCCCGCCATTCCGGCAGACCGTCCCACTGCCAGCACATGACTGAGTGCCGGTCTCACAGTTGGTACCAGTGAAGGGTCCTCGACATTGGCAGGTGTAGCTGTCCCCACTCAAGCCAGGGGTACATTTACCACCGTGCTGACAAGGGTTAGGTCGGCATGAAGATGCTGTGAACTGACACAGTTCTCCATAGAAGCCTACATTTGAGTAGAGAATATACAGTAGAAATATATTTAGATAGTAAGAATAACAGCACTGTCTGCTGAGATGTCATGATTTTGATCTGATTTTCTTTTTTGGACGTAACATCTATGTGAATGTATGCTGGTGGCTGCTCTCTACACAAAACAGACAATAGTAGAATTACTATGAATACACATAAATCCATGGTCATCATAGTATAAGATTAGCCCAACAATCACATACACGTAGTTAAGAATATGATAAAATCTTGTTCAAATTCAACATTTGAGAATCAAGATATAAAGGCTGCTGGAGGGATGTCCTGAAGTTCTGAATTGACAAAAACAGTTAGGACATGGGCATGAGGTAGGCTTAGAAGGTGAATATAGTTGGCAGTGTATCAAATATAACTTACCATCAGGACAGCTACAGTTGTGTCGTCCATTCTGACTGGTACAAGTTCCACCATTCTTACACTGTACAGTCTGACAGTACTGGTACTGCTCTGTACAGGTGACACCTGTCCACCCAACTGCACAGCTGCAGGAAACAAAACACAATTTTACATTTTTAATTTTTACCACAGAAACAGGGCTCAACAGCCACTTGGGATTAAGGATTACTAAAGTCAGCTTAGTGTAGAGTGTATAGTCAGAGGTGACTGTCTTCTATGTCACAACCAATGGAAGAATAGCTCTTCTGGGAGATAGAACTTTAAAATCAAGATCACTTTCCTTTCCTCTAATTGAAAAGTGGGCAAGATACTTGTATATCTGAGAGTGCATGATATGTTTTTTCTCTTAGACTTGCACACTGTTGAAAATGCAAATTTCACCTGCATGTAAATCCAGTGACTAGGTCAATACAGGTGCCGCCATTGCTACACGTCTGTGCCTGACAGTCAGGTATGTTGACGCTGCAGTTGTCACCTGTGTACCCCACAGAACAGTTACAGGTGTAACCATTAATGCCATCAATACAGTTGGAGCCGTACAGGCAGGGGCTGGACTCACACTCATCTATGTCAATCTGAAACAAGGACAATCATGTTGTTTATTTCTTGGTCAACAACTTAACTAGATAACAATCTTGCCAAGAGTTCTTGAAACTAAATTAAGTTTAGTACTGGCCGGTAGATACATTTAAAAGCAAGTAGCAATGGGCATTGTTAGAAAAGAATGATGCCAGAAGATAATAACTGAATAAGATGTATTTAGATATGATAGTTCAACTTATAACATGTTACTGACTTTGGCATTTGAGTAAGGAGTCAAGAGTACTCGACATAGTTAAACTTGTTGAAGCTATAGCGATTCACAACCTACCGAGCAGTTGTCACCTGTATAACCATTGGGACAGTCACAGGTGTAGCTGTTGACACCATCCCTGCAGATGCCACCATTCAGACATGTGGCATTGATGCAGTCATCAACTTCCACATCGCAGAATGTGCCTACAGTAGGTGCATCAAATTATGTGTGATTCAAGTGATCATTGAAATCTGGAATAATTTTATCTGATGAAGACTTCTTTTGAATGCCAGATGGTGTTCACACATCTAAAAATGTAGTTAGTTCCTGCAGTGTTCTTAACAGGGAAACTACTAATTCTAAACTGTTCAATCATAGTTTGAAAAGGACCACATCCAGTTTCTAAAACAACCATCAAGTAGTACAATTAAGAGTATAACTGTCTCACATGCACTTCTCAGCCTCTTGATATTGCACTATTTGATGACTAGAGATGTTGTATCTACATGTCTACATATCTACCTGCTATCTATGTATTGTAGTTGAATCTACATATCTACATGCTATGGAAGACTCACCTGTCCATCCTTCTGTACAGTTACAGCTGTACTGATTCATCCCATCGATGCACCTGGCTCCATTCTGACACGTATTCTCCTCACAGTCATCAACATCTGTTTGACACAGGGACCCACCATAACCAGGCTGGCACTCACATCTAATCATATAAAGATAAAAGAGTCTCCTCAGTAGTGTAAATCTCCTAAAGACCATTGTAGGAATTTCAAGATAGAAGAAATTCAATAGCTTCATGGCAGATTGCAGCTGCGCCAAGGATTAACAGTAGAGTAGTCACTGTGGATTATTCATCATTGATGCAACCATTCACCAAACTACTTGTTTTTTCATTAGTCTATACTATAGTCATTAGTCACACATTGCTCCAAAGAATGGACTTGCACATAGGCATGTTTTACATAATATAGAACATTTTGAATTGTTTGATTTGTTGTTTTGTCATCATCAACTGAGGTGAAGCATGATGTTTTTTCAAGTGGCTTTCAGTACAATGCAGCTTTGCTACAGCTTGACGCATTTATAGCCAACCACACCGGACCACCCTACTCTACTCGATAAGTGTGTGGTTATTATAACACAATAATTCTGTTGTGCTAAGCAAAGATTTTACCATTAATTGCACACCTGAATCCTTGTACAGAGTCCACACAAGTGCCATTGTTCAGACAAGGATTGGGCGTGCAGTCATCTGTGTTGTTCTGACATCTGTCCCCGTACCAGCCAGCCTTACACAAGCACTTGTACCCATCCTTCCCATCGACACACTGTGCCCCATTCTGACAGGGGGATGACAAACACTCATCGATGTCCACTTCACACAACTGCCCATCAAACCCTGTAAGACAAGATTAGGGTGTCTTAGAAGTAGCTAAACAAGATTTAAGGTTAGCAACTTTAGTCATAAACTGTCAATAAAATTTGTACAATGTCATATACAATGTAGCTTCAAGTAGAACAAAAGATGTCAAGTGTTAATATCTTTAAAAAACAACCTTTCCACAACCTTTAAAAAAGATGCACCCGAATATCATTTTCTTAGACTTGGTGAAGTTTTATAATAAAAGTCAGTCAAATCCCAAAGGATATGAAGAAAATGGTACCCATTGCAGTAGTCTGGCATGGCCACTATAGACCGGATTCTATAATAATTTCAGTAGGGAAATACAATCTAAGGAACCATCAAAAGGTACAGTAACACCACCGACAATGGTCTGGAGGGGTCTTATGCATACTATTAGGTGGATACTAGACTCTAGGTTTTACTGCACCAGTTTATCTGGACTCTCAGCTGACCTGTAGTACAGTTACACATGAAGCCTGGTCCAGGCAGGTTCCAACACTGGCCTCCATTCTGACATGGGCTGGACAGACAGGCATCCTGGTCCAGCTGACAGAAACTTCCCCTGAAGCCTTCAGCACACTGACAGGTGTAACCATTCAGCTCATCAGTACAGGTGCCACCGTTCAGGCAGGGGTTGGAGCTGCACTCATCACTCTGCTGCTCACAGCTGAAAATGATTCAAATATGATATCTGTGACAGTCTGTAGGACAACCAAATCATTATTTCCAGTTATGTTATATTCTTTTTATTTATTTCATTTTACAATTTCATGCCCAAAGGCTAATTTCAAGGGAATTCAGACACAATGTACATTATAATGTACTACGGTAAGTAAGACCTATCTGATGTTTCTGTGTACATTACTGAGGTTTGACTTCTTCTTTGAAGGCAAAGGCTAATGAATAGTTTTAATGATAAGTGAGTTTTCTTTTATATATTAAGCAATCATATATAGCTAATGAAACTTTCAAAGAGCAGCTACAATAATCTAGTACCCAGAACTGACCTGATTCCTGTGTATCCTGACACACAGACACACTCCAGACCACCACTTAAATCCCGACACTTTCCACCGTTCTGACAAGGGTTACCTCCAGAACATGCATCCACAAGGTCATCCTCACACCGTAGTCCTCCAAATCCTGTTATAAGAAGGAACAGTCATCATATATAGGACATTATTATGTAATTAGATATCAAATACATTCCTCAAAAGACAGACAAGACGGATTTTCGGTATTCTGAGAAAAAAATCTAGTACAGTAACTATAAAAAAGAAAACACTAATCATTGTTCATGAATACCTGCTGGACAGGTGCAGCTATATCCATTGGTCCTGTCTTGACAGGTCCCACCGTTGTAACAAGGAGAACTTTGACAGAAGGATCGCTGGATCTTACAGTAGTCTCCCAGGTATCCCGATGGACATGTGCACGTGTAGCCATACTTGCGATCCACACAGGATCCACCATTTTGACATGGTTTAGAGGGATTCTCACACCAGTCATAATCTAGTAGAGATAAACCAAGTTGCACAGGTTATATCACAATAATCATAATTGTTTACAGTTGTAACATTACAACTGTTACAGTATCTGTCTAATTGCAAGCACATAGCATGTCCTGTACATTTGTACATGTACAACATTATATAATCATTCAATTATGATGAATTTTGCAACTCATACACCCATGTGTACAACATCACATACAAGTTTTGTAAAACACCACACACATCCACAGATCTAAAGTACTGTACAGTACACAAAACCTAAGTCTTTTAAACACGCATGCATGCATGCACAAACGCTCACACACTCACACACACACACACCTATGCAGTTCTCCAGTGATGTTGCTCCTGCAGCTATAGTGATGTTTCCACCAGGGCATCTCCTACAGGCTGTGGCCCCTTCCATGGGCTGGTAGAAGTTCTTTGGGCAGAGCTGGCAGTGTGGCTGAACTCCCTGGATGGCAAAACTACCAACAGGGCACAGGGCTGAAGATAACGAAACAGATTGAATTTCACAGTTAGATAGCAACATATCCGTTGTGAGGAAGTCTATAAACAGAAAATGAAGAATTTCCCTCAGCTGTCAACTTTTTCATCATCTCAGCATCAGTAATATGTCTCTATAAATTTAAGTCTCTAACTTAAAGATTTGAACAATGACTGATCGTTGACTGGTTCAGCAAAAGTTTTTGGGAAGTTGACTGTTACCCACCGGCGCAGGCATCCCTGCTGTCCTGCCCTGCTTGTGAAGTGGAGGTGCCGTCAGGACAGTCTGTGCAGCGTTCAGTGCCCTTCTGACCGGCGTATGTCCCTCGGGGACAGCTGTTACAGGGAGCAACTCTGGTGGGGGAGTACTGCCCCACTGGACACATGTCTGAAACAGTGGCAGCCAATCCTCCTTAAGTTTATTTCTTTGCTTTTTATGTCAGTCACTTTAGATCATAACCAGTAAAGTACATATATAGTAACACAAGGCATTCATGTGCAAAAACTTTCTCTTTATTTTTCGTTTCTCTTTATTTTTGCCTTCTTTACATTAGAATTCCATACTTACCAGGGATAAATCATTTAGAACACAGATATGGACCACACTGGTCAATAACTCTTGAAAGATAGATTGTACTTGCTCTAATGATTTTTAAAATGTTCTAACGTTATAATCCAACTATACCATATAAAAGTATGAATCTTAACAGCAGTTATTTTCCTACACCACAGAAAGGTGTAATCTGTACCAGTGCAGGCATCCTTGGTCCAGCTGTTCTGGCGGGCTGTCCAGGTGTCAGGTGGGCAGGTGTTACAGCTGACAGCCCGGCTGGCGTTCTGGTATGACCCTGCAGGGCAGCTGATACACGGGCCATTCGGAACAGCCTGGTACGTCCCCGGTGTGCAGGGTACTGAAAAATGAAGTACAGACGTACATCAATAATTTTAATCAGGTTGGGAAAAGACTGTTTAGGAAGGGTTCTTATTCAACAACCAGGCATATTCACATTTGACATTCCAATTAATTATCATCTATCACCTTTTTCAGGGAAACAATGACTGGTTCTGATTCTTACTGCAGTTGGGTGTTGCTGCTGCAATATTACAAATGGGGTCTCAAAATGTAGAGTGTTGTCAGATGGTGACCGGAATGTTCGATGGGCAAACCCTATTGTTGAGTAAAGAGCCTTCTTGTAGTAATACATGAAGTAGAGACAATTGATAGAATACTACAGCACTTACAGCAGAATCCACTGACAGGACTCTCGCCCCTGTTACAGACAGCCATGCTCTCTGAGTCTCCGTCCCTCATGTACTCTGGTGCCACGGCCGGGGCAGCTGTACGGGTCAGGCTGGGACACTGTGTGCCTCCAACACTTCCACTCACAACATTATCCAGCCACGTCCTGGAAAAATTAGCTCTCAGTCAGTATCATAATCAGTACTACATATAACTGTGGTTTCTGTCATTTAGTATTATCATCCAAAGAGACATGGATGGAAAACACCAATGAACATGTCAAAGCACTCAATCGTCATTGCCAGAACACAAGGAAGAAATAGCAGGCAATCAGCTGTTAGACATAAGTTTTTTCTATATCATAATGTTGACTGCATGTACATGTAACCTTTGCAAGACAGGGGACAGATTATAAACTAGACAGTAAGTGAGTTAGTGACGTCACTGAGTTTCATCTTTATTCCTTCACACCTGAAAAACACATTTTTGTACTCATCCCAGAACATGCCAGAAGTACAATTCACACAGGAAAATGTTTACTCGACAATATAACCCCGTCTGACCTGAAGCGGTAAGAGGTGTTAGGTTCAGGCACCTCCGCCCCTGGCACGCCGGCTATCGTGTTCCGCAGGGACGTCAGGCAGGAGATCACGTGATCCTCCAGCGTGCTCGCAGAGTTGGGGCTGACTTGGATGGTGAAATTGATCGTCAGCTGCATTGGACAAACAAAATGATTGAGTTTATTGAGATCCACAATTAGCTAAACAATTTTCATTGTAGCAATTCTTCCTGTGGTCCTTATTGCATAAAACTCCTGACCAATGATATAGCATAAGACAAATTAAAGTTAATCTATCATTAGTATTTATCATTAGCTACAAACCTCTAAAATCTACCCAATTTCTATCCGTTCACTTTCAGTACTATATCATATAATCTATTTTTTTCTAATACGATTATCACATTATTTTAAAGTGCACTACTTACATCTGACTGCTGAACATTCAGACGATGTCCTGTCAGAAGCACAGTGACATCAGGTACGGGGATGTCTCGACATTTCCGCAGTAGAGCTGCCTCTAAGTCAGCGTTGATGTTGTGGTTGCTGACTGATGTCTGGTAATGGCTGGTGCAGGTGGAAGGAATGTTGCCATTGGTTGTTGCCATGGTGACCACGAAGCCCATCTGTTGATCAGCAGCTGTTTTGGCTGGAAAAAGACACAGAATGAAGGTTTTACTGATAGGATTTGGCTTCAATTCAGGATTTCATATATGATTATTCCCTTTATTCGTGTTGACCTACTGCTTTGTCCACAAATCTTCATTTATTTGGTGAACATTCTATAGACATTGCAGTGCCTAACCAAACTAAACTACAGCTAAAACACTGCCACTCTAGTCCAGAATTATTTGTCAGAATTGGACTTGGTGTGTTAAGTAAGAGACATATTCAGAAAAATTTACTTTTGCAGCTGTTGGGACAAGCATATTGTGATGCATTTTTGAAAGACCTGAAAAAGTATAGTTATCTATGGCAACTTGACAAATTGAATATATTTCCGTAGTCTCCCACTGATGTATAACAAACAGAAACCAATTACCTTTTTAACTTGTTAACGTGTCAAGTTGTCAAATATTAAAAATGTTTTCCACACCTGTGCATCCTGGTACATAGCTGGCCGTACGACCTTCTATCTGCCATCCGTTATCTACAGTACAGGTGTAGGTACGTGTTGTTTCTTCAAGGTCTCCCTCTGCAAACGCCATGGGCTGTGGACAGGACACTTCGTACTTGTAGACATTATCTGCCTGTACAAATCCCAGGTAGTTCTTCTGCACTGACTCTGGGACATCCAGGGAATCCTGGGAGCAGGCCGGAGCTGGAAAAGGGATTTTTAATTGATTCTCAACATGTTAAGAGACATTAATCAAGGCGCAGAGAAGCTCGTTTAGCACTAAGGACAGGGCAAGGAGGGTACTTCAGCACAAAGGACAGGGTACAGGGAATGTACTTCAGCACTAAGGACAGGTATGGGAAGATACATCAGCATTCCAAGGAAAGGGTACAGGGAAGGTATTTCAGCACTAAGGACAGGGCAATGAGGGTACTTCAGCACCAAGGACTGGGTACAGGGAAGGGCCTTCAGCACTAAAGACAGGTATGGGGAAGATACATCAGCATTCCAAGGAAAGGGCACACGGAAGGTACTTCAGCACTAAGGACAGAGGCCAGGGAAGGTCCTTTAGCACTAAGGATAAGGTACAAGTAAAGTAGATCATCACTGAGGACAAGGGGCATGGAGGGTATTTCAGCACCAAGGATGGGGGAAAGGAAGAGCTTTTGGAACTAAGGACAGGGGGAAGGGAGCTGGCAACCTAACCCGCATTGGCTGCAATGTCCCTAAGGTCCACTGTAAACAATGCATGTACCTCTGGCTTGGACAGTGAAGACACAGGAGGCTGAGTTGTTGCTCGTGTCGTACGCTGTAGCCTTCACCTGCACTGCTTCTCCAAACCCGATCACACCCCCAGCAGCAGGATGGTATGTGACTCTGGCAACTTGGACATTGTCGGAGGCAACAGCAGCAGGGTATGTCAGCGTTGTGGACGATCCATTGGAGGGGATGACATGATTTGCTGGGCAATCAATTGTTGGTGGCACAATGTCTGAAAGGAAAATAAATCGCAATTGGTGAACTGTCAATTTGAGCATGGAAAGCATAGCAATATCCTTAGACTAGTGACTTGTTAATATATTTGTCAGGGAAGAAACTAGAACCTGGTAGAACTCTCAATTTTACCAGTAGAAATCCAAACTCTGATTGGGACATGTATATGGATTTCCACCATTCCACTGGATCAGAGTTTCTACCCTATATACATAATACATATTCAATTCTTTACCATCATAATCTAAAAGCATATGGATTATCTTTCATGGCACCTTTTGTAAAACAAGCTCCATCTTCACCATATCAAACAAAACTATGTAATACAAAATACCTTGTGAGGGAAGATCTTGAAAAAGATGTTTCAGTGTAAAAAGGATATTAATAAGTGACAATAAAGTTTGCTTACCATTGATGACCAGGTCAATCGCACACACACTTGTCCTGTTAGATGTGTCCATGGCCTTGAACATCAGGACATCAGTGTCATTTGGGAGAAGGTCAATGCCAAAGAAACCAGGTGGGTCTGAAATAACCTGTAAAATCAAAACACATTCATCAACATGTTTTATTATAATTCAGAATCCGGTCTGGTCTTCTATTCAATTAATTTTGCCTTGCCTGACTCATAGCAACCCGAATCTCAACTAATGGTTAAAAAACAAGGTTTAATTGTTCAAAAGTGACTCTTTTTTCAATAATAATAATGAAAATTTTACATGACGTATCAATGGAAAACAATACATTTATCTTCAATTATCTGACAGAATCACTTGGTACCTGTATCTGTTCTCCTGAGTTATCTGTGGCATTAGGCTGGTAAAAAACTGTGGGCAGAAAACCATTTGGTCCCAGGTCTACACTCAGCTGTTGTGGACAGGATTCTCCAAAGTCTGGCGGCTCCACATCTGGAAGATACATTGTAGGTCATAGAATCTTGAATATCAGAAATTAAAAAAATAAACTAACCTTAGATCTAATGCAATTTCTACTTCACTTGCACCCATAGTGAACTGAATATAATGTTTTACAAATATAATCATGTGGGTACAGACCTCTGAACCATTTGTCCACAAGTCATCATTAATCTTTCATACATATATAGTAACATGTGTGACTTATTTTAATCAAAACTTACCAACACATTCAGGTATGGTGTCATTGAATGCTGGATCCACAGCACCTAAACAAACAGATCATGCGAGAAAAGTTAAGGACCTGTTTTACACCAGGGTGGAGTGAGGAAAGTCATATAAAGGACACAACATCAGCCAGAAATGAAGGGAATTAAACCCATGACCTCTCAATCTGGCGTCTGGTTGCCTTAGCCACTTTGCCATTTGATGTCACAACTAGAAAAGCTAGAAAAGCCTCCACCTTATTGCAGACAATAATCAAAAGTTATTTTTTACCATCTGGAATACTGCAGGTCAGTCCTCTGGAGTGTGAGGGTCCATAGCCTGTTCTGTTGCAGCTGAAAGTCAGCACAGTTCCGACATCATAGTTGTTTGTGTCCTGCTGTCCCCCAGCAGGAGTGCCTGGATCTGGACATGATGTGGCTGAAAATACAGTCAACTCTATATTAGTCGTACTTACATGTAAGAATAAAAAGTATAAAAGATCTAAACATCATCAACTGTATCCATGAAATGATTTTATCAGGTTGGTAGAGCCTGTACACAAACTTTAAGGTTCTTTAATAAACAATAAGTCGTTTTCACATCCCACATTTCTAAGGGCAACAATGAATGTACAGGTCTGCTTCATACTGTAGCTAGGTGTCCCTGATGAAATATTACAAATGTGGTCCCAAACATAGTGTGCTGTCACAGAATAAGTACCAGTCATTGAAGGGGATAGATGGTCACCAAAATGTCATACTTGTAAACCATTGTTGCTGAATGAAGAACCATCTTATACAATCATCAATTAACTGTAGCAAGGAACAGAACTTGCCTCCAATGGTGCCATGTCCAAATCTAATGCCTTTCCAGAATTAGCATATTTTGCCATGACCACTATCAGTTAAATCAAATCATCACATGAAGAGATGCTTACGGATACAGCGTGTGGCAGCGCCGCTCCACCTGCTATTGGCCTGACAGACGTGCAGCTGGTCTCCCTGCACCTGGAAGCCCGGCAGACAGGTGACTGTCCACACGCTGCCGTAGGTGGTGTTGGTGCTGCTGGTGTTCACTAACACTCCGCCAGGGGGGAGGGGGAGACTCTGACAGTCAACCACTGCATTCATTAATAATATAGGGTGGAATAGAACAGGAATATAGGATTAATTATTGTTGGTTATTGAAAACACCATCATGTTATGTTGCTCATCTGTGTTGGTAGAATCCATAGTTATAGAGTTCAAGCTTTGTTCAAACACAAGAATAAGGTGAGTTTCCTTCTTCTGTTGAAACAACGCTTGAACTCTATAACTCATTTATTTCATTTATTTCGAAGCCTACCATGTTATGTGTTGTGTGCATGGGATCATAATAAATTATGAAAGATTTGGATTTCTGACAGAAGTCAATGAAAAGCAAATTTGGTACAATCATGTTATTTACATACTGTTTGCACTGGATAATATTGGAAAAAAATTCAGATTTCAGGAGTCAATGTTATTACATTTAATATGAATGGCACATGGCACACTAAATTGTTGTATGGCACAATTACAAGAGTGTCTCTCATAACAGAGGAGCATACAAACAGTTTCTAGTATCATGACAGGTTCTATTGAAAGTCACAACTTACATTGACAAGTGGGCTGCAGCCCAGTCCACCCATATGTGACATTGTCCCTGGCACCGATGTTGTCACAGAATCTGATACCACTGCCCACCAGGAGAAAGCCTTCATCACACATGTAGGTTACATTGCTCCTGTAGGCAGGACGCACTGGAGCACTCACTGTGCCATTCACGATAGTGTCTGGCATTGGGCAAAGGGCAACTGCAACAGTACATGTACAACAGGGCAATCAGAGGTGGCAGACTTCACCCCCTTACTTATACTGCTCCATAAACAAAAATAACACAATGCTGCATATTTGAAATCACACTTAAACTTTAGGCTGCTTTGGCACCAAATTAGTATAAGGTTACGCAGCAGGAAGAAAACACACACAATTCTGCATGCATTTTGTATATAATTTGGGAATGGTACAATTTTACAAACACAAACACACACTCTCTCTCACACACAAGCATAGTATGTTACACAAACAGAGCTCCCTTTACTTACTACATCATATTCATAGTAGTTTGTTGATGCTATCTATGAGAATTGAGTATTCTTCAATTTTTCAGATTTGCAAATCTTAAGCTCTGTACATGGACATGTGATAATTGTTGTTAAATACAAATTATTTTAAAGATCTGCATATAAACATCAGGGAAAAGGTTTAAGTGAACAAACCATTGCACATGGGAAGGTCACCCTCTGTCTCCACCCCACAGGTGAAGGTTGGATCTCCAGTCATCATGAAACCTTTCTCACAGTGGTTAGTGATGTTGTCACCATACACATACGAGCCGGATTTGAAATCATTGTAGAAACCGTTGGTCAGATTGGGCAATGGTCCACATGGAACAGCTGGAAAGGATATTATACATACAACGTTAGATCTATCAATGGTTGATTGAGTTTCTAAAGCAGATTTTTGGGGAAATTAGGAAAGGAGTGATGGCAGTAGAAAAAGGACGAAAATACATCAACCAATACAGCATTTTTGTTTTAATTTGTGTATGCATGTCCAATGCTTGTCTGCATCAGTTTAAGTATTTGATGAAAACGTGACTCACAAACACAGCTCTGGTTGAATCTCAGCACATCTGTTACACCATATCCAGTTTCTCCGTCCCTGACATTGACTCCGTACTGCCCGTTGAAGGTGAACAGCTGATAACCAGGTCTGGTGCAGGTGCAGTTGTATCCTCCAGCAAAGTTGGTGCAAGTATCACTACAGCCTCCATTGTTCATAGCACATTCATCCATATCTGTGCAAAAATTGCAACAAAAGGTTTAAGCAAAACTCACACCTTTGTCAATTTCTTAAACCTTTAACTATTACATGAACACTTTGGAAAACCAAATACTCCTTGGAATTCTGTTGATCAACAAATAAAAATGCCTTTTTGACAGATTTTGACAATTTCCAGACTACTGTATACTATTAGTAACTGCTATATGCATAATAAAGACAACCTACCAACACACATCCTGTCCATTGGTTGGTCCTTGAAGTATCCAGGTAGGCAATTGCACCAGTAGCCTCCTTCTGTGTTCACACACACTGTGTTGTCACTGCACTGGTGACTGCCATCTGCACACTCATCTATATCTGTTTAACAACAAATGTTGAACATGAGAAAATAAAATCAGAATGTAGCGTGTAGTGATCCCAACCTAGCTGTTGGTAATCTAAAGCCTGGATTGTGGGCAACTAGTGGAGGTTTTTCCAGAATGATGGGCACATGTACTGATTCGCCATCCTCTTTGAAAATGTGAAAATGATGCTCTTGGACTATCTAAAAACAATATGCATTACTAGACTAAGTGACATGACAGAAATATCTGTTTTCATATGATATAAGAAAGATGTAGAAACCTGTGCAGTTGACAGAACTTCCAACAAAGAAGCCATCATTCTGACATGTCAGGTTGAGGTTATCTGTGGAGTTGAGACTGTATCCAGCGGAACAGTTGAAGAGGACAGTGTCACCACTGTAATACTCATCCATAGGGTTGACATCCAGGTTCTCTATAGCTGGCATGGCACATTTTCTTCCTGTAGAATGGGTTTAAGTTTGTATTACAAAATCTTAGTTCTCAATGTCACAGAAGATTAAACTGGGAAAACTAACTTTGAGCCAAGCACTTTTCAGATGATTGAAACGTTCAGTTTTCATTTTTATTTCTATCATTCTTGCATAAATAAAATTTTAGAAGATTTCTGAATAATGAAATAATAAGATTATTAATCATAGATATACTGAAGATCCTGGTAGTAAGTACAAACTGTCACTGCTACATGTACTTACTTTTACACTGTGGTGCAGAGCCTTTGCTGTGCCTCCAAATGCCAAGTTGACAGAAGGACTCGTCTGTACCATCAGGCTCAAACCCAGGATCACATTCCACCCTGACTACAGCACCATTAGAGAACTGGTCCCCTCGTTGGTCTCCCCTCACCACCATTAATGTACCATCCCTGACACTGTGCACACAGGCAGGGGCTGTGGGAGGAGCCATAGCAGCATGTTATGTGTAGCTATGAATAACACAACAGCACAATCAAATTGCTTTGGTCTTAAGAAAGAGTTTTAACTCCCCAAATCACTGCATAGATGTATGAAAAACCTACCCTGGCATAGAGGAGGCTGTGACCACTCTCCATTCTCCTGACAGGTGATATTGTTGTCACCGATTAGCATCAACTCAGCAGAGAAGCATGTGTAAGTCACAGAGCTCTTCAGCAGTGTCCCTCCATTCTTCACGTAGTACCCCTGAGGTATGACAGGGGGCTCTCCACAATCAAGTGCTGTGTAAAAAAAAACAGACATTAGGTAATGCATATACATTGTCAATGCATCTCAAAATGTAATAACATCCAAGTTTCAAGCAATTTTTTTTAATACTCAATATATGTCAAAATTATTGCAGTTGTAACATTAATCAGAATCAGACTTCTAGCTTCTTTAACCTAACATTTCAAACAAATAGACTTGGTCGCTCCTTACGTTTACAGAAGTTATCTGGTATGGCCATGTCCATCAGTTTGGCAGTCCCAACCTCCTTCCATGCTCCACCACTACTGCACTGCAGTGTGAGGGACCCATTGAAGTAGTCTGACACATATCCATCGCTGCATCTCAACTCAGCCGTGGCACCATACTCTGTGTTGCTCCCTATGATGGTCACAGGTGCTTCACTGCTTGTCAGTAGTGTTTGGGGATCAGGGCAATCTGGGAAAGAAAGGTATTTGATGATTTGATAAACTTAGCTGTACAATTCTTGAGGAAGAAATTGGGTGGACATTATACACTGTTGCTGTCTCTGTCCCTGGTGCTGAACTACCATCACACACTGTCCCTGGTACTGAACTACCATCACACACTGTCCTTGGTGCTGAACTACCATCACACACTGTCCCTGGTGCTGAACTACCATCGCACACTGCCCCTGGTACTGAACTACCATTACACACTATCCCTGGTGCTGAACTACCATCACACACTGTCCCTGGTGCTGAACTACCATCACACACTGCCCCTGGTACTGAACTATAATTACATGCTGCCCCTGTTTCTAAATTGTAACGGCATACTGTTTCTGATGCTGAATTACAAACACAATTACAGTTTTCCATACATACAAACAACAAATTTGTTTATCCTTACCCACAGAAATGGTGGCCATCAGTGGGTTCCCTGCACTGATGTAGTTGATACGGAAGGAACCATCTTCAGCCCGGATGGAGGGGGGCAGGTTGTTGTTGTCATAGTTGACGGCAGCACTATCTCCAGCTCTTACCTGCAAAATTATCAATTCCACATTGGGACAGAGAATTCTGTACAAGAAGTCCTAAAGACAGCATACAACTCCACTGACTCAACTTGAAAGTCTAGTTTGTGTTGGTAACACTAGAAGTCATTCTGTAACAGGTTTGAGCTGTAATTTCCAAATATGTATCGTAATTTTTGACTGTTCAACTAACCCTAAACCCTTTAAAAGACTGGAGTTGATTGGGTAAGTCCAACTTTTGGTGTTGAAAATTACAACTGTTTCAGAACCCCACTAATAAATGTATACTTACCTGAAGTACATCTCCTTCATCAATTCCTTCTGGAGACAGCAGTAAGGGCTGGCTCTGACTGGACTGAACTGTGTATGTGCAGTCAACACCTGACTTGTACGGGTCTGTCCCAATGCTGATTTGGCCATAGACAACATCAGACAGGGTAGCCTGGCAGCCTAGAACCACAGAATATTACTGTTGATTAGTTCATTCAAGATACTTCAGGACTTCAATGGACTACTACACTGCTACTATATGCTACTAGTATAAGTCCTACACTAAATCTTGGGGTTGGAAATGAAAAACAGTAAGCATTTTTCTGGTATTATTCATTACAAACAAACCTGTGATAGCCTTGGCTGTTAGTCCTGGCTGTTCTGTGACTTCATCAGAGGTGACCATCTTGACGGCCATCTTGTTACTGGTGCTGGTGACAATCCCAGAGACATGGCCTGCACCAAACTTTCCCAGGGAAGGGGCCACTGCTGATTCTCCAGCAAAAACCTGAAAAGAAACAAACATGTCATACATTGAGATGGAAGCAGGATGGTGCTTGGAGCAACTGGATGTTTAATCCACAGGTTGGGCATTGAACCCACACTGCACTGATAGCATGGCTCTTTAATCTCTATATCTTGATAGAGATATGATCCTCAAGGCAAGGGTTTCATCAGTTGAATTCAGGAATCATGTCAGAATATACATGTATTCTGGGATGGAACAAGGAGTCTATGATAATGATGTTAGATGTTTCAAAGAACTGTAATTTTCTTAGTTCTTGGCAAGTTGCTTACTCTCAAAATCCCTTTAACACATGATTCCTCAAGACTTAAACTTGCACTAAATAATGACCACAATGAGTGAGGGCATTAACAATCCATCCATTTTAAATGCAGACTGTTCCTTACTTCCACATAGCTGCCCTGTCCTGCCAGCCGGCCTTTCTGCAGCACGAGAGTGATGACATCACCACCTGGTGCAGACAGGACCCAGTCACAGTCCAGCCCTGGGGCAGCGGGGAAGTCGATGTCTACATCTGAGCCAGTGGACACACTCAGCTGCCCTCCACAGCCTGAAACTTCAACTACAGATAGAACAGGACAAAAGACTGTCTCATCAAGTGTACTTAAACTTGAAGACAAGTCTTGATCATAATGGGATGCCCAGATTTAGTGAAGCATTTTTGCAGTTACTGTCATTATAAAGATGATATCCATATGTGCATCGGTATAGCCTTAGAAAAAATTAGGGCCAACATTTCAACTGTTCTTGGCGTTAGGAAGAGCATCCAGCCGTAAAAATTTTGCTTCAAAAAAAGACTTGTACTTGGTGCAAGCACGTCTAACCCCCGGTTGGGGCAAAATGATGTTAAATTCGGTTAAAAAAAAAAATTTCAAGGGTAGTTCAGTAGGGGTAAGTTTGCCAACTTGCATTGTTTATGTAAAAGCCACTAATTTAGTACAGTTGATACATGATGCAGGCTGAGGTACAAAATGTAACTTACAAGCTTGCCAGTCCAGCCAGAATCCTTTTGCTGCTCCATTCCAGTCAGTACGTAATCTAACCAGAGCAATGTTAGAGGAGACAATGATGCTGTCTGGGCTGGAGGTGTCACCACTGAACAGCTGGGATGTCTCCTCTTGGAATGGTTGGCTTGAGACTGTCAGGGTGTCAAATTCATCCTCAATCTCAAAGTCCTTGAACTGGGGATGGTAGAAAGGTTGGTTTTGTCAACGTACAGTAACCAGTATCTTGACACCATTGCATTACTCTAGCAATACTGCATACTGATTGGTCTGGAAGAGGGCAACATGGTAGCAATGTGGTATTGTGGTTAGCATTGTTACTTGGGGACCTAAAGGTTCTGGGTTCAAATCCCTGGCAGGCCCTACTGTTGTGTCCTTGGCAAGACACATTACACCGAGCCTGGCTTTGGTTAGGGACATCCTCTAGGATGGGATGCAAAGCTAGAACCTCCAACTTTGAGGGGAGTCACACCTCAAGCACATTAAAGATCCCACCACACTTCCCGGTATGAGTGACTCAAACCTTACTATTTGGTCTTACCCATGCTTACACTTACTGTAGAAAACTGGTGTGTTACACCTTAAGTAAGTTTACTAGTAAACCATCCAAACAAACAAACATATAGAACGTACTGTCAAGTTTAGGCGTTGTCCTTCATCAGTCTGAATAATCCAGAGGCAGTCTAATGAAGTGTTATACTCCTGTGGGTACCCAGGACTCTGGATGGTCCCTGAACTCCCTGTCAGAGTCCCCCCACAGTCGGCACAGTTCACTTCATCTGTGCCATCCTCACAGTCAGCTGCACCATCGCACCTGGCTGCAGCTGGGATGCACCTGCCACTCACACACCTGAACTGGCCTACAGGTGCAGAATTATGGCATTGTGAAATTCTCCACAAACTCACTGGCAGGTAGATATCTATCACAATTCTAAAAGAGTGTGACTGTGTAGAAGAGTTTAAAGCATTGATCAAGTTGCACCTCTTATTCTCTGGATACAAGCTATGATAATCATTTTAAGAAAACATACCAAAATTTCCCTTGATTCTGACTGGTTTACACTAAAACAGCTTTTCTATGACAATGTCTATAACACTGCATTCCAAGTTGTGACTTACCTTCCAAACAAGCGTCAGCTTTACACACACCAAGCAAGGATGTCTGGCATGGCCTGGTGTACCACTGAGCTTCCTGTATGTTAACACTGGTGCAGGACAGGTTAGGGTCAGGCTGGTTAGGTGCCCACTGTCCTGCATACCTGCTGTCACTGTTGTCTAACTTGTATCCTACAAAATTCAGAACGTTCACTGTTACATAGACATAAATACTGTTGTCTCATCATTAAGATGAACAGTTAACTTTTGTATTCACTAATATAAATTTAATGGAATATATTGTGCAATGATTGTCTCTGTTTGACATAAAAGAAACTTGTAAACAAACTAAACAAGTTGACAACTAGAGTGCATTTGCTACACTAATTCAGAGGCACCTACCAATCCAAACGTCTGTTACATCTGCTCTTGCCTGACTTGCCAAATTGCTTATAAAGCTGGTTTCTCCATAGCCTTGTAAATCTGCCAACCTTGCACCATACCTGGAACATAGGACAGAACACAAACTTGGCCTGCAAATAATGTATTGTATGCCACATATTGAATTCTCTTGGTTTTGTAGGATCACTCTGTATATGTACTGATTGATAGTCTATTGTACAGTATAGAGTCTGATATAGTGTAGTATGATGCTGACTGTGTTCCCTGTCCCTGGTGCTGATTGTGTTTCCCTGTCCCTGGTGCTGATTGTGTTTCCCTGTTCCTGGTGCTGACTGTGTTTCCCTGTCTCTGGTGCTGACTGTGTTTCCCTGTCCCTGACTGTATTTCTCTGTCCCTGGTGCTGACTGTGTTTCCCTGTCCCAGGTGCTGAGTGTGTTTCCCTGTCCCTGGTGCTGACTGTGTTTCCCTGTCCCTGGTGCTGATTGCATTTCCCTGTCCTTGGTGCTGATTGTGTTTCCCTGTCCCTGGTGCTGATTGTGTATCCCTGTCCCTGGTGCTGACTGTGTTTCCCTGTCCCTGGTGCTGACTGTGTTTCCCTGTCCCTGGTGCTGACTGTGTTTCCCTGTCCCTGGTGCTGACTGTGTTTCCCTGTCACTGGTGCTGACTGTGTTTTCCTGTCCCTGGTGCTGTTTGTATTTCCCTGTCCCTGGTGCTGATTGTATTTCCCTGTCCCTGGATCTAACTTATACGATAGAGTTAAAGTTATAAGAGCTTTTGTAGTACAGAGTTTAGTCATTCTGATACATGTACATGTATACTGGTCCTTCCTCATAGTAAGAAGCAATTGTTTTGATACATATCCCAATTACTTTAGTTCTTACCTTGCACAAGCACCTTGTGCCTTATTCCTAGATAGAGTAATGTTCAACAGACGATAGCAGGAGCCTGTGTTGTAGGTCCAACCTGCAACAAAACATAGCAGCACATCATAGATTCATCATTACATTGCAAACTGTACATGTACTGCCAACTTTACATTGATAAAATTTTAAGTAAAACCCCCTTGTTGGATAAATTATAAAAGTTGACAACAGATGAGCTAAGAAAAGTTGACAACAGATGAGCTAACATTGAAATATAAATCCAAATACCATATGTTCTTTGACAGACCAGGGAGACAATGCACCTGTAGTGTAAACCTACATTGCATGAATTGTACGAAATGTGTTTTTTTTTCTGGGGGGAGGGGAGCAAAATAACTAAAATATTAATGAGAAAGACTTTCCTGAAATATCCCAGTTATTTCCTCACACCTTAAGCATTCTCAGTAATTAGGTAGAACTCTACATGGTGATGCATTTCTTACTAAATATTTTGTCCTAAATGACCCGAAATGTAAGTTAATTTGCCTCTTAGTGCTAGTTACCCTAGGGCTATCTCTTTGCAATAACCTCTGACTAGTAGGTTTAGTGGGCTACTAAGGACGCATGTATTACAGCAATACAGATAAACCAGTAAATGAAATATAAATAAACACTGAGGCCATGCATAGGTGTGGCATTGTTCATTACTTCATACACAGGTGTGTCCCAGTAACGCTTCAATCTATCATGACCTGCATTACTTATCTCATCAATAATGCAAGACCTCCCCATGGATGCTGTCTCACTGGCTTGGCTTAATGTGATAAATTGTATCTCGTCACTTTCAAGAACTGAAGGGTGTTATTATATTTTTCTGCTGTGTTTTGTTCCTTAACATGCCTGTAGCCGGAGGGAGGGGGTCATTTGTGCATGTCTCTGATTTTGCCTTTGAAATCCTCTAAAAAAATGCAGGAAATGCCATTTCAGAAGGTTCAATTTTCAAAACTTTCTGGGGGCATGTTCCCCTAGGAACCTCGTGCCTTTGTCATTTGCCTCTCACCTACGATGCTCTCTGGTCCCTCGGACAGTGGGAAGAACCCCCCAACAAAAATCCTGTCTAGGGGTATGCTTCGGTTAAAAGGGGATTCATGCATGTAGAGATGTATCTTCACCTATTGTGTGGGACTACTATGTATAATCCCACCAAAATTTTCAAGATCCAGCTATTCGGGAAAACAAATTCATTCCACACATGCTATCACATAAAAGGGTCAATTGTTGCTTTCTTGCTTACACAATGACATAGCCTTACCATTATAGATAATAAAGGGTGGTACCATGTGTAATCAAGTGGAGAAATGCAATGGCTGTCCTTGAATAGGCTGACAGATAGGCCTGATGATAGACTCAGTAAAAGGTTTTTAAGTGGTACCTGTGATTGGCTGCTAATGCAAATATGTCTGTAGAATCTTTTGTGGATATCATGCATCTTGACACTGAAGCAACCAAAAAGCTGAAAAAATTGAGTAGTGTATTATAGGGTTTGGGATTTTTTTAAATATAAATATAATGTTATAAGTTATACAAATAAAATACACCTACCCGCAGGACAGTTATACTTGGCAACATTAGGATCTGGCAGGCTTGGAAATTCCTGGAAAAAAGGATGATTATGTAAGTTTATGTAAGTATAAGGTCTAGTCCAAGGTTCTAAAAAAAAGCCGCCAGCCCCTGCCCCCC